TTAAAAATGGCTTTCTTCTTGCCACTCTTCCATAAAGGCCAACTTTGTGCAGTGCACGACTAATAGTTGTCCTATGGACAGATTCCCCCACATGAGCTGTAGATCTCTGCAGTTCATCCAGAGTCACCATGGGCCTCTTGGCCGCATTTCTGTTTAGCGCTCTCCTTGTTCAGCCTGTGAGTTTAGGTGGACGGCCTTGTCTTGGTAGGTTTACAGTTGTGCCATACTCCTTCCATTTCTGAATGATTGCTTGAACAGTGCTCCGTGGGATGTTCAAGGCTTGGGAAATATTTTTGTAGCCTAAGCCTACTTTAAATTTCTCAATAACCTTATCCCTGACCTGTCTGATGTGTTCTTTGGACTTCATGGTATTGTTGCTCCCAATATTCTCTTAGACAACCTTTGAGGCCGTCACAGAGCAGCTGTATTTGTACTGACATTAGATTGCACACAGGTGCACTCTATTTAGTCATTAGCACTCATCAGGCAATGTCTATGGGCAACTGACTGCACTCAGACCAAAGGGGGCTGAATAATTACGCACACCCCACTTTTCAGTTCTTTATTTGTAAAAAATGTTTGGAATCATGTATGATTTTCGTTCCACTTATCAAGTGTACACCACTTTGTATTGGTATTTCACGTGGAATTCCAATAAAATTGATTCATGTTTGTGGCTGTAATGTGACAAAATGTGGAAAGTTTCAAGGGGGCCGAATACTTTTGCAAGCCACTTTAGATGGAAATAGATAGAATGGGTGAGATCATTGATATGAGATTTATAGGACAGTGAGCTGTCTAGGATGGGGAGGGAGGATGTATATTAATAAGGGCCTAAAAGGGCTTAAGACTGAACCTTGGGGTGCACCAGAAGTGACTGGGAATAGACGAGAGCGGAACGATTTAAGTTGAATAAACTGGGAGCGGTCAAGGAGATATGATTGGAACCAGGCTAGGGATATGTCAGAGATGCCAAGACAGTTAAGTCTGCTTAGATGAATAGTGAGACATATTGTCAAAGGCTGAACTCAGATCCAAAAGGACAAGAATATTGAGAATACCAGAGTCCACTACATGTAAAAGATCATTAGTAACCTTTAAGTAAAGTGGTTTCTGTACTGTGACATGAGCAGAAGCCAGATTTAAATCTCTCATATATACTATTATTAATCATGTTTGAATGAAGTTGAGCTGCAACAATTTTTTCTAGGAAAGTATTTTAGAGATGATGTTAAATTAGAAATCGGGCGGAGGTTGTTAAAGTTGTCAGGATCCAAGGAAGGTTTTTTTCAGTATATAAGTGACTGAAGCAATCTTGAATAAGGGAAGAACAATACCAGTGGTGAGTGAAGAGTGAATGATAGAAGTGATGAGTTGGAGAGGCAAGATTTCACGACGGGCTTTGATTTACATATGAATTCAGAAATATCAGCTTTATCAGGAGACTCAAAATGGAGAAAAGGCTCTGAAGAAGGGATAGACACAACATTCAAACTGAGTTGCTGGTAATTGTTATTCATTTTTGTCAGTGTTGGGGAGTAATGGAACACATGTACCGGCATTAAAATAAAAATACAAAATATGAGTAACTGTATTCCATTACAGTTACAACTTAAAAAGGTGATAATTAGATTACAGTTACTTTGTTGAAATAAATCAATTACATGGTGCTTTTTTCCTGTTTAATATGTTAGGCTATCCACTCTCTAATTTTGGTAATTCCACACATTGCCGAAAACCCAAACAAAACACACAATAAGCATTCTAATGTAAGCATTCTGGCTAATGTTGTTGGCGTCAGTTACACAATGTACCCGAAGCCAGCACAACAGAGCCAGCAGTACATGGGCAGGAACACATTTCTTACTGGGAAATTCCAACAACACTTCACATTTAAAGATGAAAGGGATGGGCGAAATCTGACCATCCAATGCAAACTCTGTTTCCAGCAACGAAGCTGCTCTCAGCATCAAATGACTCCACCTCCAACCATCTGGAAGTAAGTTCTTTTTTTAAGACTAAGGTTAGCCTACCACAACTATCTTCTTTCAGTTGTGGTAGCTACCTGGGTTAAGTGCCACCTCAGTGTCTTGGATGTACCATTGCTGTGTGAATTATTACTGTTAATGAAGGCTACTTGGCACCAAGCTAACATTGTTAGCTAGAGTTAGCTGAGGTTAGTTCATAGACTGCAGACTGTTAGACTTGATGGATAGATGCAGTTCTATGCAGTTCAATATGCAGTTCTGGAAGCAGTTTATGAAGTAACCTCAACTTAACGTCAGCTAACAATGTTAGCTTGGTGGTGAGTAGCCTTCAGTAATAGTAATGAATCACACAGCATTGGTACATTCATGTAGTTGTAAAAAGCATGACAATATATTAAATAATCCAAAGTATTCAGAATACGTTAATCACAAGCTGTAGCTCAGG